GTTAAGTTACTTTCCCCTTTTCACTTAGTAATTTTCCTTGATTTTACCATAGGCTTCTCAACACCTCAAATCCATGAAGACAAGCCCAAGCCCATTTAAGCCCATTTCGTTTTTGTGTTAAGTTTGTCATTTTTCAAAGGCCTTTGCATGTTCTTCATTAAATAAGTTATTATTTCCTAGGAAGGTTGCATGTAACCTTCCTTAGGCTATATATAGGTCTCACCATTCTCATAATAAGATCATCCAAGTTTTTTACAAGAAAAACAAATCTCTTTTCTCTCCAACTTGCGATCAAAACCGCCGAGCTTAAAACCTTCGGCTATTCTCTCTTCGAGAGAATTCTCCTTCTATCTTGGTGCGTTATATCCAAGTATATCGAGCCCTTCAACCCTTCACCGAGTCCATCATACTCGTGTGATTGTATTCATCTTTCATCAATCGTTCGTCCCCATTCATTTCCATCCATTCCCTAACCCGATTAAGACTCGGCTCTACATCAAAAGTTCCGATCCATCGATTGGGATCATATCAACTTATTTAACTAATGTGTCTTGTTTTTTTTTTTTTTTATCATTATCTATCGTTCGTATACATAACTGTACATTTCTTCATTGACAAATACAAACATCCATTTCCATCTTGAAGCCTAATTGTGTGTTGAGCTTCTCTCTCGCATTAATACCATTGGCTTTAGGGATGGGAATTTCAAAACCACTCCTTGAAATTTCTTACATTTCGTTTTTAGCCTTGTATTTTTCTTTCTACACAATAACACCAACTTTTTCCGCCTCCTTACAAGATGACTTCATCAAATGTCTCCACATATACACAAATGTCGAATTCCCTCTCAACGAGACGTTCTTCACTATTGAAAAGAACGCCTCGACCTTCGAACAAGTTCTTGAATCAACGGCTCAAAATCTACGGTACTTAGCTAAGTCAATGCCTAAACCGGGAATCATATTCAAACCAATTCATGAATCTCACGTCCAAGCTTCCATTATTTGCTCCAAAAAACTCGGAATTCATCTCCGTGTTAGAAGCGGTGGTCACGATTACGAAGGCTTGTCATATGTTTCACAGATCGAAAAACCGTTTATATTGATTGATCTGTCGAAACTGAGACAGGTCAATGTTGATATTGAAGACAATAGTGCTTGGGTTCAAGCTGGTGCTACAACTGGTGAGCTATACTACAGGTAATATATACCTCGTTTGTTCCCCTCCCAAATTGTAAATGGGACTTCTACTTTTGTTCATGAATTCCCGTCTCATTCCTGTTTTGTCTGCAAATCTGCAAAGTTTTGTCTCGGATTCCTGTTTGCCCACTCCTAGCCATACATAAAGCATTTTGTTGTAAATACTGAAGATTACGGGTCATTTGAGACGGTGATATATTTGGTGGAATGGAGGATAAATTTGTAGGATTTTTTAACCATCGTAACTTCATAAAAAAATTTTCTTTTTTATATATACTTGTACTTTTTTTTTTAATAAAATTATTTTATACTATTGTGTGCCGAGTTAAAAATGTTTATGGATACGCCCCTGCATGCTAAATGTAAAGTCAAACACAAACAAACAAAGGCATTCTATTGATTATAACTGTTAGAAACGAAATGAGATTGCGGAAACAATATTTCACTACAGGATCTATGATTCTAACTGTTGGCACCTTCTTCTTTGAACTTCAGGATTGCTGAGAAGAGCAAAGTTCACGGTTTCCCCGCGGGTTTGTGCTCGAGCTTAGGCATAGGTGGGCAAAGAGGCGGTGCATACGGTTCCATGATGAGGAAATATGGTCTTGCTGGAGATAACGTTCTAGACGCAAAGATCATTGATGCTAATGGTAAATTACTCGACAGAGCCGCAATGGGCGAGGATCTATTTTGGGCGATTAGAGGAGGCGGTGGAGCGAGTTTTGGGATAATTCTATCATGGAAGATCAAGCTTGTTCCTGTTCCTAAGACTGTGACCGTCTTCACGGTCACCAAAACATTAGAACAAGACGTAGGCAACAAGATTCTTTCGAAGTGGCAAGTTGTTGCAGCCAAGCTTGTTGAAGAGCTATTCATCCGAGTGATCTTAAACGTAGCTGGAAACAATGGAAACAAGACAGTGACGACGTCGTACAATGCTCTGTTTCTTGGCAAGAAAGGCGCGTTGATGAAAGTTATGAAGAAGAGATTTCCGGAGCTAGGGCTAATTAACACCGAAAGATTGTGTCGAAATGAGCTGGCTCGAATCCGTTGTTTACATTTCCGGCTTCCCGACCGGCACTCCTACTAGTGTTTTGCTTCAAGGGAAGTCGCCTTTTCCGGCAAAGGTCAATTTCAAAGCTAAATCGGATTTCGTGAAAAAACCGATTCCCGAATCAGGGCTTAAAGGGATTTTCAAGAAGTTCCTTGAAGAAGACTCTCCATTGATGATATGGAATCCTTACGGAGGAATGATGGCGAAAATCCCTGAATCCGAAATCCCTTTTCCGCATAGAGAAGGAGTCATTTTTAAGATTCAGTACTTAACGACTTGGCTGGACAGCGACAAGAGACCGAGCAAGCACATCAACTGGATCAGAGATCTATACAGTTACATGAGGCCTTATGTCTCGACGCATCCACGACAAGCCTACGTGAACTACCGTGATCTAGACCTGGGAATGAACAAGAAAAACGCCAAATCGAACTTGAAAAAGGCTCAAGTCTGGGGAGCTAAGTACTTCAAAGACAATTTCAACAGATTGGTGACGATTAAATCAAAGGTTGATCCAGATAACTTCTTCAGACATGAACAGAGCATCCCAACTCTACATGTTTGAAGCTATGCTCAAGATAAAGACAACTATACCAATCAAATAAGTTTTTAGGTTATTTCTCTATTGGCATGTCTAAAACCATCTTATCTCTGAAATGTTATGTTTGTTTTTTTTCTGTGTGTTCAATTTCAAACAACTGAATGCATATGAATCTTTTAACTTAGTATACTTGCGGGACGGTCCAAATAGTTTTTTTTTCCTGATAACCAGGAGTGATCTGAGTTTTTACTACCTGACTAATCGCCCATGATGAGTGTACCCGTTGAGTAGCCCACTCATCGGATTTTCTAATGGTTCTAAAGCTTGACACTCTCTGCGTTTTCTTACATTTCGTTTTTAGCCCTATATTTTTTCTTTCTACACTATAACACCAACTTCTTCAACCTCCCTACAATATGATTTCATCAACTGTCTCCACAGAAACACAAATATTGATTTCCCACTCGAGAATACGTTCTTTACTCCTGAAAGAAATGCCTCGATCTTCATCGAAGTTCTTGAATCCACGGCTCAAAATCGACGGTATTTGACCAAGTCAATGCCTAAACTGGGTTTTATATTTACTCCGGTTCAAGAATCTCACGTCCAAGCTTCGGTCATTTGTTCCAAGAAACTCGGTATTAATCTTCCGGTTAGAAGCGGCGGCCACGATTACCAAGGCTTGTCTTATGTTTCACAGATCGAAAAACCGTTTATATTGATTGATCTGTCGAGACTGAGACAGGTCAATGTTGATATTAAAGACAATAGTGCTTGGGTTCAAGCTGGTGCTACAACGGGTGAACTATACTACATGTAATCTAAAGAACTATTTTCTTCTGCGTTTGCATTTACATATAAACTTTTTGTTGGGAAAATTCAATAAAATTTTAAGGATTTCCATAATATATATGAAAGTATATATCCAATATATTGATCTTTCTAATAACATTTTTGCAATTTTTAACAACGCCAGCTACATAGATTTGTAATTTATATATCCAATACTTTTAGCCACTTTGGGTCTAATATTGAAGCATCGCAATAATTTTCTTTGATTATTACTTCAGAATCGCAGAGCAAGATCCATGGATTCCTGGCCGGTTTGTGCTCGACCTTAGGCATAGGTGGGCATATAACAGGCGGTGCATAAGGTTCCTTGATGAGGAAGTTTGGTCTTGCTGGAGATAACATTCTAGACGCAAAGATCATTGATGCTAATGGCAAATTACTTGACAGAGCCGCAATGGGCGAGGATCTATTTTGGGCGATTAGAGGAGGCAGTGGAGCGAGGTTTGGAGTCATTCTATCATGGAAGATCAAGCTTGTTCCTGTTCCTGAAACCCTAACCGTTTTCAACGTTATCAAAAAGTTAGAACAAGACGCGGGGAACAAGATTTTTTCGAAGTGGCAACGAATCGCAGACAAGCTAGTTGAAGAGCTATTCATTCGAGTCCTGTTCAGAGTCTCTGGAAACAATGGAAACAAGACTGTGACAATGTCGTACAGAGGCCAGTTTCTTGGCGACAAAGGCACCTTGATGAAAATTATGAAGAAAGGTTTTCCGGAGTTAGGGTTAACTCTAGAGAACTGTATCGAAATGAGCTGGATCGAATCCATTGTTTACAGAGCTCGATTCTCGATATTAACACGTCCTCCTATTGAGATTTTGGTTCAAAGCAAAGTCGGATTTTGTTAAAGAACCTATTCCTACACTAGGGCTCACAGGAATGTTCAAGAGATTGCTTGAAGAAGAGTCTTCGTTCCTGATTTGGACTCCTTACGGCGGAATGATGGCCAAAATCCCTGAATCCAAGATCCCATTTCCGCATAGAAACGGAACCATCTTCATGATTCACTATTACACGAGCTGGTCAGAGAGTGACAAGAGGCCGAACAGACACATCAAATGGATCAGAGAGCTGTACAGTTACATGACGCCTTATGTCTCAAGCAATCCAAGACAAGCATATGTGAACTACAGAGATCTAGACCTCGGAAAGAACAAGAATAACTCAAAGGTTAACTTCATAGAAGCTCAAATCTGGGGAGCTAAGTACTTCAAAGACAATTTTAGCAGATTGGTGAGGATTAAATCAAAGGTTGATCCAGATAACTTCTTCCGACACGAACAGAGCATCCCAACTATGAGTCTCTGACCCTGCGAAGCTAAGCAAAAATGACAGGACATTTAAACTAATAATGGTGCCAATTCATTTACCAATGGTTTAAACTAATAATGGTGCCATTTCATTAACACAATGGTAGTTATTTTCTTTTTTCATCTTGTATACTAAATGATGCGTCTCTTTTGGAGGGGAAGAAGATG